CACTCTTTCGAGCTAAAATTGGCCGTCGAACAAAATTTCACAAATCTTGTCTCGATGTAACGTTTTTGTTTCTTTTCGAATCAGGGAAGTTTTAAAGTAAATAGGTTTTTTTCCGCGTTTTGATCTTCAGAAGATGTTGCACTTCTAAATTAAGGTGAAAATCTCATTTTTTGCTGTTCTATTAAATTATTTGGTTTTCATTCCTCCGCCCATGGAACACTTGGTTTTAGCAAATAACTCACTTTCCGAAATGATTTAAACGCTCAAGCAATTGGCGCAGATTTTGGATATATTCCCCAAAACGTGAGTCAATTAGTTGTCTCTGCTAAATCTGAACTTCTTATTTTTTCATACTCAGAAAAAAGTTCGCATAAAACTTTTTTATTCGTCCATAAGTACCTGAAAGAGATCAAAACTTCAATAATTTTGCCTATAACTTCCGACAGGGATGGTTTTCGAACCCACGCACGTATAACGTATTGGATTAGCAGTCTAACGCCTTAACAACTCGGCCACCCTGTCGTATGGAGTTTTTGTGCTTAGATAAGCTTATTCTAATTGAAAACTTTCAATAGTTCAGTTTAAAAATTTAAGTCAACAGTCATTTCATTTCTACCCTGTCTGAGTTTTCTCGAATCAGTTTCCTACTTGGGCTGGTAACTTTAGAACAGTTTTCTGCTTAGTTTTCTGTTTTTTGGCGACCTTTTTTAAATCATTTTATAATAATTCATGATGATAGTCAATTTCCATGGGAGCAAGATTGTGTTAGCAGTCTTTGAGCTAAAGTTGGCCGGCGAACAAAGATTCACAAATCTTGCCTCGATGTAAAGTTTTTGTTTCTTTTCGAATCAGGGAAATTTTAATGTACATAGGTTTTTCCCGAGTTTTTGATCTTCAGAAGCTGTAGCACTTCTAAGTTTGAGTCAAAAACTCATTTTTTTGCTATTCTCTTAAAACTTTCAATTGTCATTCCTCCGCACAAGGAACGTTCGGTTTTTGCAAGTAGTTCACTTTCTGAAATGATTGAAACGCTCAAGCATCTGACGCAGATTTCGGATATGTTCCGTAAAAAGTGCGTCCTTTAGTTCTCTCTACTAAAGCTGATACTTCTAAATTTTTTATACTTACAAAAAAAAGTTCACAAAACCTTTTTTATTTGTCCATAAGTAGCCGAGCAAAAGTTCTCAAATCTGTCTCAGGGTAATGTTTTTGTTTTTCATCGAATCAGAGAAGTTTCTATTTGTAACCAGGTTTTTTGTTTGCGTTCTCTCATCTTCGGAAGATTTTGCTCTTCTATATCAAAATGTGTCAATTAATTGTCGATACAAAAGCTGATACCCCAAACGGTTTCATACAGTCAGAAAAATCCACATAAACGTTTTTGTTCATCCAGAAGCGTAACCTTGAAGTTTAAGCTTTAGTAAGCGCTTTTCTGAATTGGATCAAACGCTACAGTATTTGTCGCAGGTTTTGGATGTGTTCCGTCAAAATTGCGTCAATTAGTTATCTCTACTAAGGCTGGTACTTTGAAAACTTCGTAAAAGCAAAAAAAAACTCAGATAGAGTTTTTTTGTTCTTCGGAAAGTACCTGAAATTGATCAAAACTTCAAGTTGTTTTGCCAAGAAATTGCGACGGGGTTGGGATTCGAACCCACGCACGCAAAACAAATAAGTATAGAAGTCCAACGCCTTAACCGCTGGGCTGTCCTGTCGTGTTGAGGAGTGGTTCTGTTTATAAACTATTCCGAATGGAACATCTCCGCAGTTCAGTTTGAAAAACTAAGTCAACAGTAATTTTTTTGTACCCGATCTGAGTTGTGTCGAATTAGTTTACTAGTAGAGCTGGCAAATTCAGAACAGTTTTCTTGATTATTAGCTCACCCGATTTTTTTTTCAATTTGTTATATTCATGATAACTGTCAATTCCCATGGGAACAAGGATGGGCTAGAAGTCTCTTGTACTTGAACTGGTCTTTGACCAAAAATTCTTAACACTTATCTCAAAGAACGTTTTTGTTACTTTTTGTATCGGAGAAGTTTTTATTTGTAAACAGGCTTGTCTTGTTTGCGTCTTCTCGTCTTCCGAAGATTTTGCTCTTCAATACAGATTTCATATCTTATTTTTCTGCTCGGTTCATTTGAAATCTTGGGATCCATCATCCGCTCATAGAAAGTTTGGTTTACGTACGTCGTTCACCATTCGAATAGAGTTTCTCAAACAAACATTCTACGCAGATTTTAGTTCTGTTCCGTCAAAAAGAGTGTCAATTAATTGTCTCTACGAAAGTTGATACTTCTAAATAAGTGCTTACAATCAGAAAACTTCACATAAATTTCTTTCAATCAGAAGCTTTACCTTGAAAGAGATCAAACTTTCAGTTTGTTTCGCTAGAACCTTTCGACAGTTATGGGATCCAAACCCGCGCACGTAGAACGTATTGGATTAGTAGCCCAATGCCTTGATCATTCGGCCATTCTTCCGTACGGAGGAGCTGTGTCTATAGAAAACTTATTCTATTTGGAACATTTCATTAGTTCAGTTTGAAGAACTACCTCAACAAAGATTTTAATGTACCCGGTCTGAATTAAGCCGAATTAGTTTCCCACTAGATCTGGCAACTTCGGAACGGTTTTCTTTGTTATCAGCACACCTTTTTTTTCATTTAAATTAATTCATGATGACTGTCAATTACCAAGGGAGCAAGAATGAGTTAGCAGTCTTTTTTGCTAAAACTGACCGCCGACCGAAAGTTCTCAAATCTGTCTCAATGTAACGTTTTGTTACTTTTTGAATCAGAGTAGTTTCTATTTGTAAACAGGCTTGTTTTGCTTGCGTTTTCTCGTTGCCAGAAGAATTTACTCTTCTAAAAAATCAAAGTTTTTTTCTGCTGCGTTCTTTTCAATTTTGGAATTACTTTCTCCGCTCATAGAATGTTTGGTTTAAGTAGGTCGTTCACTCTCCGAATTTATTTAAACGTTTAAAAATTCGACGCAGATTCCGGTTGTGTTCCTTCAAAATGCGTCAATTAGTTGTCTCTACTAAAATACTTCTAAAAATAGTTCATACAACCAAGACAACTCAGAAAAAAAATTTCCTCATCCAGAAGAACCTGAAAGAGATCAAAAAGTTTTTTTTCTAAGAACTTGCGACAGTGATAGGATGCAAACCCAAGCACGTAGAACGTTTTTGATCAGCAGTTCAACGACTTAACCACTCGAACACCTTGTCGTACTGCGGAGGGATGCATTAAAATTACTGAGTCCAATTGACACATTTTAGCAGCTCAGTTCGAAAAACTAAGTCAAAAGTGATTTTGTTTGTACTCGGTCTGAGTTGGGTCAAATTATTTTCCTACCAGAGCTGGCAACTTCAGAACAGTTTTCTTTGTTATTAGCGCAACTCATTTTCTTTCGTTTAGTTCAACTTTTCGACGACTTCAATGACTTCTTGATTTTCTACTGCGGTTGGTTTGCTTTATAGCGCCAACTTTTTTCAAGTAATCCTTGAAACGCTCAGCGTTCTCTTCAAACAAACTGTAGAAATAATCTAGAATGTCAATTTATTCTGATAGTATCTTGATTTTTACGGATAACTAGGTTTTTGACAATTTTGTTTTGTGAAGCCTTAATAAAATCTTATCTTTTCCCTAATTTTTTGTTTTTCATTTTGTTCCTTTTCTAGCAATATTTTTTCAAGAGAAAGTGGAATTTTTTTCGAGAAACTTCGAAACAATTTGAGCACCAAACTGATCAGACTTCGAATTTTTGATAGTTTTAGTTGAGAAATCCGGCGTACAGAAAATTAAGACAATCATTGTGCTGCTATCGTCTGTAACTTGGGTTAGGAGGCAGCCCATTTTGTTTTCTAGCAAGCCGTTTAATATATATCTCATTATCCTCAAGTTTTATTCGGTTTGCCTAATTTAGCAGGAAATTTAAGTTGAAACAACCTCAAAATAAATGTTTCGGTCTCTAGCGATTACTGTTTTTTTTTGGCACTGATAAGATTTGAATCTTGTTATCTTCTTTTTCGTTAGTATCATATGTTTTGTCTTAGTGTAAGCGTAGATGCCAATACCTCTTCCTCGTTCAACTTAAGCGCAATTTTAGAAAAGTTCATATGCAAATTTGGAAGATTTTGTTGTAAGAGTTCAGCCAGGTTCCAGTTAAAGAGAAGATAGGTGGATTTTGAGTCAATTGCCCTTCGAAATCTTCAAATTTTGGGGCAAATGTCTGATGTTTTGTAAAAAAAAAAAGAACACGAAAAGTTTTAGAATCTGCTAACTCCATGTCTCTGTTAACAAAAAAATCTTGTGGTTTCATATCTGAGTTAAAAGTTTTAGTTTTGTTCGCATTAATAGGAATTCTGCAAATTTTTAGCTGTAATACGCAAATAGGATCCTTTCATCGTCCCCACACCCCTCGTTTCCGCCTCTCATCTCTCGTTTTCCTAATTTTTATGCTTTTTCTAGTTTCCTAAATAGTTTGCCATTTTTACTATTGTCATTCAAAGATCCCAAAGCAGCGTGGAAATCACGCAAGCACTGGGAATTACAAAAGCGGAATAAGTTTATTTTGATTGAGTTTTAGCTTGCTTTTTTTAAAAAAAAACAATTCAATACATATGACTAAAGAGCAGCTCGCAAATCGCAGCAGTTAATTCGGATTAAATTGGCTAAACGCTGCAAGTAAAGAGCTCGATTCTGATTGTCTAAAAGTTCACATGTAGAACAAAATTAGCCTCCTCCCCCAAGACTACTTCGCGGGATGTTAACTTGGTCCAGGGGGGCTCTTCTTTGTTGACTTCTTGCTTTACCGGAGATAGCTAATTTGGTATTCGGTCAATGATTATGCAGGCGTTGATTATCATTTCGTGGCAAAATACAGACAATAAAATTACGCAGAGGGTTTTATATAATTGAAGAAGCTAATTTGTTCAAATGCAGTTTTCCTGGAATTATTTGCTGTACTTTGTGTTGGAATGTGTTTGTGTGTTGAAGAGTGGCTCTTCTGGTGTGGCTGCCGGAATAGTGGAGAAGTATGCGTTGAGTGAGGACACTCTGGACTGGAACTGTCGGGAGAACAATCTGGTCATAGCCGGAACAACTGCCGCACACACACAAGGCGGTGCAGCCCTGTTGAACTCATCCGCTGCTGGCAGGTTCACAACCAGGCAGAGCTCCTTCTCCCCCTCTTCCAGCATAAACAGAAGTGGAGGGGGAATCAGTCATGTGACCGGATCAGCAGCTGGCACTATGTTGAACGACTCACAGGTACTCAAGCTCTTTCATGTAAGGAGTTTAACATCCAGAACTATTCCATGACGGCAGAGGTGATAAATATGAGGAGTTCAAAAGATTGATCAACTTCTGTTTTTCTTTCAGCTTGATCACTTACAAGGATAGGAGTCTTGCTGCCAGTTATTATGCACATATGCTTTTCCGCTCATATGTACTCAAAAATGATTTATTACCTAAAATGAACTCCAAGTAGCTCAGGCGTTATTTTTTTTATCGTTCTCTATCTTTCTTTCTTTCCTTTTGACACTTGCGAAGCCTTTTTTCCCCAAGCTAAGTCGCAAACATTTGTGCCATTTTTGGGGCACCTTGAAAGCTTTATGTAGCTGCTTTTATTGTGACTAGTGTTTGTCGGTTGTTTAGCTTGCGTGGTTGAGTGGATAGTGCGGAAGACTCAAAGTCCATTAATTTCAGTAGGTAGCAGTTTTTTGATGGCATGTGCTTTGACATTCGAATAGTAATAATTTAACACAGTTGATGCATTTTTTAATTCATCAAATGAACAGAAAGAGTGATTTGTTTGAAACAACATAACAATCATAAAATTTCGATTTCCAAAATTTTCTAACGCAAGTTATGTCCCAATTTTTTCAGCTTTTTATATTCCAAATCAATACTTGCAAAGTTGAGTCAATTTGTATTTGGTGCCACTTTTGGTGAATTGTTTTGGCTATTTGTTAGCAGGCAATTTGTAGCTGCCTCATTCGTGACTATTGTCTGTCCGTCTTTAAGCTTGCATGGCTGAGTGGATTGTGCGCGAGACTCTAGTTCTCCTGATTGCTGTAGGCAGTCCTAGCTCCTAATGAACTGTTGCACTCCGCACCAGGTTCATGACTAAAACTAAACTTGCATTCAGCTTGTACCAAAATACATCTAGTCCATCGACCACTAAGACGTCGGTTCATCTCCGAAACTGTCCCAGTTGAAGACCAATTGACGCTTTGCCAACTACAACCGAACTGACACCTGTTGTTGTCTCAATGATTTCTTCGACCTGCCTCAGGGAAGCTTCTGATTGGATTAACTGAAAAACGTCGTTGCTGATCAAAGTCAAATCGATGTCTGGATCTAGTTCTACTCTGGCCGGCCTGCCGTTAACATAACGCTTCTTGGAAGCGCGACGTAGACTTCAGTAATTGTCGTTTTGTTCCACAGAAGACGATGCAACCACTTTTTTACCCGTGTCCGTTGTTGCCTCGCAACATGGTTCTTCTCCCTTGTAAGCGTCCATCTGCTTCTTTGCTCTGTCACCTCGCCCAGCTACAGACTGAATTGGCGATACTCAACAAAATCAATTTTCTGGGGTCGAAAAGCTTATTCCCATTCGAAAGGCACTGCAGACTTCGGATCGGCATTCAAGAACATCTGTAATTCTTCATCTTGGAAGCTTTCATCCAAGTCGTACTCAGGACTATATCTGCGTCTGTTTCATAGCTTCGCACTACAATGAATGGTTTTACTATTTGAAAAATATCCAATTTTAGCTGACCTGTAGTGCGAAACAAATTATCGAGCGTTCACAAACTTTCTACGAGGTTCTTCCGAGGCTGTAGTCGGATGTGCTTTTGCCAATCTCTCCTAAGACTTGCACCATACCCTTGCTGGGCGTGGAACTCAGAGATTCGGGTTCTTCTTTGATGGTACACCCTCTTCTACTGCCCATTTTTCCCTGCTCCGAAGTTTTATTTTCAACAGCTTCCTGTCCGCGGAGTTCTTCGTCAGGTGTCTTTCTCTCCCTACATGCCTAAAACTTGGGACTTTAAATTAGCCGCTCTCGCCAAACAAAACTTCGAAAGTGTGCTACATCAGTTCATCACTGGATTCGGTGATCATCTCAACCGTCCCATCACTTCCAGTCCTCAGCACTCCTCTCGGACGTTCGAAGAGCATCCCATGTAGTTATTCTAGTTGTTGGGAGCTCAACACCACGTCGACTTCTTTTTCAGTTGCCGCCGCCACCACAGCATCAGATCGCTCCGTAAATGTCTCAATCAGAACCCCAACACACTTGCATCACTAAACTGGTCGTCCCACCGCTCCTTGAGTTTGCCATTGAAAGCTCCAAGTGGAGGAAAAGTTTTCAGAATCATGGAAGCGCAGATATTAATCAAGTGAACGCAAATTGTCTCTTCCAGTTCCATACGGACTAAAAGAGAAGGCTATCCACGAACCCATCAATGAAGTGCTGCTCCGTATCACTTCGCACGATCCGTTGCCGGACTCTAGCAGCCCATTAATAACCGTTCGATCTTCATCTTTGTCACGATTCCAATCACTGGCCATCGACAGCTCGGGTTCAAACATCATGGTCCGGTCGTCGACTATACTCATACATGGCGTTTTCTGTTCAATGTCGTTTTTATCGTTTTGCATCGTAGTCTTCATTTTCGAGCCAATCGTTCCTTCATCGAGTGATATTGTCACCTTAATTGGTAGCCTCTCGAACATTAGCGGGACTGGCTGAATAGCATCACTCTCTTGGCAGATCATTGATTTATTCTCTCTCACAAACAGGCCATAGCACTCTTTGAGTTCATGAGCACTGAGGACCACCCTGGAGTCAAGCTCGCTTTCGCCGATAACGATGAATGTGAACACAACCTTGAATTTTCCCATCTTGATTTTCGCTACGATGTATCCAAGCGCGTACACCTGTTTCGTTCTTTTCCTGTGAAGGTGCCTTTCAACTGTTCATTGAACCTCCGGACAAGTGGCCCCTATCTGAGGAGCTCACGCAATCCTTCGGATATCACATTGCAATCTGTCTTTTTGTCAATCTCGATTTCCGCTAATTCTACGCAGACTTTGCCCAACACGAAAGCTTGCCACTCGTCCGCCCCTTCGGATCTGAGTGCAATAAGTTCTCCTTCATGCGTCTTGGGGTCAACGGAGTGGTTCATACTCTGCCACATCTAGTACTGTCGCCCAAGGGAAAAACTATCTCTTTCGGCAAGGGCACCGAATTACCACCCGCATGAATACAGCGCCATTGATAGTTCACTCTGATTTTCGGTTTTCGTTTCAGCGTGCTGAGACTCATCAACATTGGACTGGACAAGTTCTACCACCTATCACCGACTTCATGAATGCACAGCAATGAATGACAGCACCGCGTCTTTTCTTGGACCACATTAGTTCCCGCGTCTTTTCTCGGGTGCATTGCTCTGAAATCAACGTAATTGAATCAGTTTGAACTGCCCAGACTTCCTAAATCAGCTTCCAGCAGAAACACGTCGTCTATTCGTGCTTCGAATAACACTTCGTTTGATGCTAGGTAGTCCTGATTCATTTTTTTGTCGTTTTTTGATCAATTCCTCCTTCAACACTCGTCGTTGCCGAATCCAAAATCGTTGTTCGCTCGATCAAGAAGGCCAGCCCAGGAGCGCCAATATAGAGTTCTCTGGGAATAGTCTCATCTAAGCACGCTCTCACTCTACTAAACGGCCGCAAAGTATTCCCCCTTTACACCGTGTAGTAGCGGGAGCACTAAGACACGATTTTATCCACAATCCCAAAAGGGTTATGTTAGGCAGACTAAATCGGCCGATCAAAGAATTACGCAACTTCCCCTCGGTTTATGCTCTTATCTGCGCTCCTCTTGCGTTTGTAGCTAGTTCGACAAATCGTGGGCACAATAAGAAAGTTCTGAATTGCAAAGAAAGTATAACAAAGCAATTTTGAACGCCCTTGATGAACTAACTACTATTTAAGAATTTCTATTACTAAGCACGCATTTCGTTCCTTTTGGTCACCGCCTCATCAACCTTATCTTCAATCTTCGCTTGACGCAATGCCAAACTCGCCTTCTCCAGCAGCGAAACTTGCTCACCGAACTAATTCAACCCGGTACTAAACTCAGGTTCAAATCACCTGAAGTAAATAACTAACATTTGTGCGACACAACTAGCCTCGCATCTAGCAATGGCGTTCTCCACGGACCAACTATTCTTCTCGGTTTACTCAATCGTTTTCTTACTGAGACTCATCCGTTCGTTCTCTCAGCGTAAGTGTTCATGGAGGCTCTCCTGTACCCTCCAGTTCCTTATGATTTTTTACACTTAGTTGTAGTTAAGTCACGCCATTCTCTATCAGTCCTGACATCCGCTTAAATCACTTGTCCGCACATGTTTTATGACAAGGTCAACCAAGGAAACAAATTGACCAAGGAAACACAATCCTGATCAACTTATTCCTGACGTCCACGAACTTTAGCCCTCGAGTTCAAATTAAAATTTAAACGATGCGTTGATTAGTCAGTGACACTCCCAATGTCTTTATTCAATTATCCTGTTAACGTTCCGACCTCCCGAGGGTAAGGAAAGACCCTTTTCATGGGTAGCTAATTCATGTCAAGTATCTAAAATTTTGATCGATGTTCTTTCCAAATCCCAACTTTCTAGCTATCAAAAGAACTTCACTCATCTGTTAGGGATCAAATTAGGCCAGAAAATTACCTCCGGGGAGCCAAGTAAAATTCCCTCCGTTCATTTTGTTCAATTCTCATGCCGTGGTCCTTCTGGTGCCAGTTTTCTCTTGGACTACTTTTTTGTTGTCTAGTTGAATTGCTCTTAACCGATTATTCGCCAAGCTGAGCTGAACGCAATATTAACCGGACGCAATATTAACCGAATTACGCAATATTAGCTGAACGCAATATTAACCGAATTAATTTTATTACATGGTTGCAATGGAAAAGCTATATCGCACTCAGCTTCTTCTTCAATTCCGAATAAATAAGTTTCCTCCCAATTATTAGTAAGGTGAACAATTCCTCTTTCCAGGGATTGCGCTGGGGATTAGTCAACTTAAGGTCACCCAGGGTCAAATTTTCTCGGACAGGCTCAGGGTTCATGGGGGACCTAACTAACAAGTTTCTTTCATATCCCATGAGTACATCCCAAGTCACCCGTTTCTAATGTCCATTATCATTTTTCCTGGTAAAAGGCTATTAACACCGGAAGGAGTTGCCGGATGGG